AGCTAGTAAGTGTTATGTGTCTGAGGTCGGATTTGAACTCAGGTCCTCTTGAATCCAGGGCTAGTGCTCCATCCACTGCACCACCTAGCTGCCCCCTCTTACTTGATTTTTAAAATCCTTTTTCAGCTCTTCCATGGCCTGAGACCAATTCATATTTTCCTTTGAGACTTTGGAAGCAAGCATTTTGACTTTGTTGTCTTCTTCTGAGTGTGTGTTTTGATCTTCTTTGTCACTATAGTAACTTTCTATGGTCAGAATTTTTTTCTGTCATTTGCTCATTTCCAGCCAATTTCTTGACTTTTAACTCTATGCTAAAGTGGGGCTCTGCCTCCCAAGTGGAGGGGGCACTGTCCCAAGCTTCAGATTTTTTGTGCAGCTGTTTTTAGAGTTAATTCTAGGGACCTGTAAGGTTTTGGCTCTTTCAAGGTGGCATGATCTAGGGTAGGGGTGGGGAACCTGCGGCCTTGAGGCCACCTGTGGCCTTCTAGGTCCTCGGGTACAGCCTTTTGACTGAGTCCAAGTTTTACAGAACAAATCCTTTTATTAAGGGAATTTGTTCTGTGAAGTTTGGATTGAGCCAAAGGGTTGAGGCTGAAGGTTCCCCACCCCTGATCTAGGGCAAAGTGTGTTTATTGCTCTCCTGTACCATGCACTGGCTTGTGAGTGGCCACAAGCAGTCTTTTCAACCCTGGAACTGTGACCAGGGTCCCTGCTCCCCTTCTGCCCAAGCTGTGCTGTGCTAGTGCTTCTCCTCACCCCAGGACTGCCACCCAGGACTGAGTATGGGCAGAGCAACAGAATCCTGCCTCAGTGCTAGCAATCTCCTTCTGACCGACTGCTCAACCTCTTTACCTTCTGTGGCCTGAGAGCTCCAGAAGCGGCCGCTGCTGATTCAGTTGCTTGAGGCCTGCTCCTCGTTTGCTGGGGCCTGGTCTGGCTGGGCTTGTGCTCCTCTCTTACCCAGGTGTGACAGACTTTTCCTGCCAACCTTCTAAGTTATCTTAGGCTGCAAGTTGGTTTCACTGCATCTTTTTGTGGGTTCTGGTGCTCCAGAATTGGTTTAGAGTCATGATATAAAGATCTTTGGACCAGTTTGGGGGAGAGCTCTGGCGAGTCCCTGCCTTCAGTCCGCCATCTTGGCTGTGCCTCCTCTCTCTCCTGGCTTATCTGCACGCTCCTGTCCTTCCCATTCCCCATTCCCACCTTCATTTAACAAAAAGAAAAGAAAATTAAAACAAGGCCTTTCTCACAAACCAGCAGAATCAAAGCAAAACAAATTCCCCCAATGGCCACAGGACAGTGACACCATTCTGCATCTGGAGTCCAGTACCTCTCCCTCAGGAAGGAATCATGACTGGTCACTGAAGTGATGATAGCTGGCTTTAAATATTTAAAGGGCTGTCCAATGGAAAAAGGGATTTGATTTGTCCAGCTTGGCCCCAGAGGGCAGAAGGAGGACAAAGGCAGACTGAGGCTGAAGGTCAGGAAATGCTTCTTAAGGCTTAGAGCTATCTAAAAGTGAAAATGCTTGGGCATTGGTGGGGATGGGCATTGGTGGTGGATGGTGCACATGGAGAGATTCTTGGTCATTGGTGGGGGATGGTGCACATGGAGGGATTCTTGC